TTAATTATATTGCAGATATAATAAAAAGTACTATAAGAAACACGTGTAATTGGTCTTTAAGCAACGTGTAAATTTTTTTTTATTATTATTATTATTAGCGCATCAACCGCGTAGGGTTATTTGCGCTGATATTATGCTTCTGTAATGAAATGACTATAATTGGTGTATGACATTGATAGATTTTAGATAGTTTGTAACGTTTCCGAAGTTGCACTTCTCTCCTAATATATCTCGAAGGGATCCTTGAATGTGGTGTCGGGAACGCTGGATATACATGAGGTGAAGATGTGATTGACTGTGAGGTCCACATCACATACGTCGCATTTGGGTTTGTCACTTTTATTTAACAAATATTCGTGAGTCATTTTTGTATGTCCTATTCTTAGTCTATTGATTATAACTTGGGCTTTCCGGGTAGATGGTGATGGTAATATTACGTTTACATTTGGTTTAATTTCCCGTAATTTTGAAATTGACGCACTGTGTTTATTTTGCCCGAGATTTTGCCACTCCCGTAATACTTGTTGTTTAATGAAGAATTTAAGGTCACTATGTATGATTACACTTATATTATTTGTGTCGTTCGTTGCGCCTGTTTTAAAGACTTGATTATACACTCGTGTCTTAATATATTTATGTTTTTCGTTATGGAGACGTGGTGATCCATACCAAACTTATATGCATATTTGTTATTGGCAGCTGGAAACGACGGAGCCCTTGGAAAAGTGAAAGTTGAAACTGAAACCAAACCACCAAAATACAACCAGCTTTAACAACTAACGTGTTTTGGCAGTAACGTTGTTATCAATAGCGAAGAAGAGAGTTGTCGGGAGGTATTCTCTCGAAACGTGTTCATTTTTTTTCCTACGACTTTCATTGAAAATGACATATGTCGTACAATTATGTTTACTTGAAAATTGACAATTTCGCTCACTTATGGCAAAATGTAACGGAAAACAAAACGCACCCGTGTGATTTGCTTTCTAATAAGATCTACCCTTAGACCATATAGTACATGGACTGCTATTAGCCCTATGCTTTCAATACAAAATGGGTGGTCATGGATAGAGGGCACTGTAGTCGTGGGTATGTGAATCTCAGGGTAAACTAAAGTCGTGTAAACACCACCCGGATCGCGTAAAGAGTAGCTTTTATAGTATTCGCGTAGTACGGGGAGCTTTAATTACTCTTGATTATCTTCTCTACATCCACAAATAAGAACAGGTTTGCTTTTTTTTGCATATCTAGGCCATTAATTAATTGACGTTTGTTAATTTATAGGTTGACAGTCTCAAATCGTATCTAATCGGGCAACTTCGGACAGAGTCGTTTACCCTGAAACTCACATACCCAGGCGATGTCCTTGACCATATTTTCGTTACAATTAGCAGTCCATGTACTATATGGTCTAAGGATCTACCATATATTAGAAATCCAATCGCATGTTACGTTTTGCTTTCGTAGTAGGCTAATCTTCTTTGTAACATCAACGTAGTAGGCATACGTCAAACTCTAAAATTGCGATTAGTTTATTCTTGAATTTATTCCCTTGTGCTACGCGTTTAATTCCTTACTTAATTTTAATGGCGAAAAGTGATTCTTCCATGGATATAGAGTGTACTCCCCGCAAAATCAGGGAAGAGGCAAAATCCACTACACTCGAATTACTACCAACTAAAATGTGGCTGAGGTATGAAAAGTAGGTAGCGTACGTCTAATAATATTAGTAAATTTCTTGCAGAAGCTCCAAACCACAAGTACCTCTTTGCTAAAGTAATTATAACAATAGTTCCTTGAAGAGAAATTGAACCTATTTCGTATTTTTAGATAGTTTTAGTAGTTGGTTCGAAATAAAACAACTTTTGTTTCATTATGTAAGTAGATTTTTGGTTGTATGGAGAGTCGTAGGAAAAATAGTGTACATGACTCGTTTGAAAGCCACTTTTCACACTCGTGTGATTGCCACACTCGGCTTCGCCTCGTATGGCAAACTTCACATCTCGTGTGAAAAGTATCGCTTTCAACACTCGTTACGTAATATACTATTTTAACTTGATTGCGGTTTTTGTCTCAGTTTTAATTAACAACCAATCCATTTAACGCTTAATTATGAAATCTATTAATGAATTTGCCGTATACGGAAAGGAGGAGGGAGGATCTGTTTGTTGTATTTGAACGACGTACCTTTTGTTTCACTTTCCCTTTCCTATTTAGACATTTAAACTATAACTTGTCCTAAATAGATAAAATTGAATTACATGAAGTACATTTAAATGTCACTCAAATTATTACGGGGGTGTGGCTTTGTTCACAAAGCCGCTTTATTAATAATCGACCACGACTAAATAAATACAACGAGCAATTACACCCGGCTTTATTTCAGGAAAATTTGCGCCTTGTACATTTAAATTGACAATCGATTTGTGGCACGTTACAAAAATGGTTACGTGTACCGTGGACTATTTTTATAAAAGTTTAATGTCAAGTTCACCTGGTAATGTTACATTACTCCGACAATTCTACATCGATACTCGATAGTGTGGGGTAATTGAGTTGAGTAAAAAGCAATTTATGCGAGTAGAGTTTGTGTTTTGTTCAATCCACAGAGTATAATTTTGGTGGCACTGAATGGTAGTGGGAAGCGGAACAAATGTTTGAAAGCTACTGCTCCTAACCCTTCTAAATGGAATGTGCGAGGGTTTTTTACCTATTTTTTCTAGTTTTGAAAGTGATACTTTTTTTCACGAATTTGTAGGTAAGCAAATAAGTGAAAAAGAGTCTTTTAAAAAATGTTATACACGAAATTTTTTGCATATAGTAATCCTTAGTGACCTAACCCATAAATAAATAATATTATTGACTCAAAAATTGGTGCTATTGTTCATAGATAGGACTAAACGCCATCGAAACGCATAGTGAAAATCGTGAATTTCGAAATGGAAATAAGGCAAAACCCAAAACGACGTCTGTCACTTCCAAACGTACATGATCTATTCTAATTTTTTCATTACGCACGGGTGTAGGTAATGGGTACTATATCATGCCTCTAAATTATACGTTATGACCTCATCAAAGTAAATTGTAGGTATAGGTAGCCCATTATCTCATAGATAATTTAAATAAACGATTGGTCGTAGTACTCGTAGTGTCATAATTTGGAATATGTCTGTCTGTCTTTACACAATAGCGCTTTGCCCCTATCGATTTCAGGTTTTCTCTATTAGATTATGCCCTCTAGTGTATTGATTAGTTAATACAGTGTATTGGTATAATATAGTAGTAGTAGTAGTGTATTAATTTATGAAATAGATTTTGACTGACGTCCAAAATCTTGGTGCTTTCCGTTTGTCTTCTTCGAGTAATTATATACGCGAAGTGGCACGTAACGATTTATCTAAAACCACGTGGCTTCAATTTGTAATCGATATGAAAATAACTTTTGATTCCCCATTCCATTAGTTCCCATAATCAAACGGATATGTATGTTAACCAAAGGTTATTTTCATTGTGTCGCTGTCATGGAAACGTCACCTTTCATACTAGCCGATACTAAATTGTTTTATAAGTGGCGGTCCGCACGGACATCGATATTCTACAAGTGTCCGTTGGACGCAAAACGTTTTATTAGTAAAATGTGAATGATATTGTCGTAAGGTATGTCCCAGTTTGGTGATTCCATCGTGTTTGTTTATCCACTTAAGTGCTAGGATGTTATTTTCAGTTTTATGAACTAAAGTGTCATCTTGAAAAAATCCAAACAGGTAAATTTGACTAGTGAAATGTGCTCTTTAATCACGTCATTGCGATTAGATAGTAAATTGTGTGCAATGTTTGCAATAAGTGTTTTAAAAAAAATCAGTCTGCGTCACTTCCTCTATGTATTTATCAAACTCCCCTTTTGTTTATACCAATCGACATTCGTATATAATCTACCTAGATAATATGAAAGAAAAGGAATTACAGGAATTTTCCTCAACCTCTATACATTTATCCCACCGTTTCTCCAATAAACAGATACCATAAAACATTCTTTTGATACCTCACTTTTCTCATAAACCGCTCCCAAGTTATTCTCAAATTCTCAAAGTTCTTAGTTTTCGTATTCGTATTCCACAAACGCTTATCAAATTTCTCACAATATTCCAGCAAATTTCTCGAAATTTTATTGTTCCTTTCAAGATCTTCTTTAAAATTCCTCCATGAATTCCCCATTAAGTTCTCCTCACTGTCCTCTGCTCAGATTCGCCTTAAACTTCTACAATACTTTTCTTAATTTCCTCCCAAACCTCACCTCTCTTCTTAAGCTTTTATTAAGTTTTCTAGAGATCAGAACAGATAGCATTGAATATTTTTGTAATATACCAGGAATATTCAAAAAAGTTATTTGAACATGTATTAAATTACACCTATAATAACGTGCCTTGTAAGATATACTAGGGATATGCGAATGGAATATATTCTGAGAATAAACTAGAATATTCTTTCGGCTGCAGCGCGAAGGTGCTTGATGGATATGATTTCTCGCTCTTACCTTAATTTCTATCTTCGGTATTCATCCAGTGGATGGATTGCACGAAGCGCTTTGCGAAAACGAGCGGAGGAGCAGATTTGGCACTGCGTGACGCTGCTTAACGAATGCTACTTTCCCACGAATTACATATACCTAGGTATCGCCTTTGTAAATTCTGACCTAATTAGGGCTTTATCTTACAACGACAGAATGTATAAAACTCCTCGATTATGATAAGCTTTTTGTAATTCGACATTCGGTTACGACAGACACACTTAACTCGCTTTTCTTGCTCTTGTTTTAATTACAATAACCCGCTTCATTTACATCATCCCGATTATGCACACCTAACGCAGTATAAATCCTTTATCATATTTTATAAACTATAATGGACTAACCGACTGAAAGACAAATCCGAAAATATATTCCCTTTGCTGATTGTAAACCATGCCTTCTTTTGCGAAGGTACTAATTCTGTTTTTCTTTCCAGTCAAACATGGCTCTCGTCATATTATCTGAAAATGTACACGTTGTACAGACATTAACTCGACATACAAGTGATGTAACATGCTGTGATTTTGCACCAAATTTTACACTAATTACCGGATCAAGGTAGGTAAAGACGCGGGCTGTTAGTACTTTACCGTAGGTACAATTTTGAATTGCAGCGATAAGACAGTTAGAGTGTGGAAATGGGTTCCACAGTCTGGTTACGAGGAGAATTCATATTCTCCTCTAAGAGGCCACAAGTACGGCGTAACCTGTGTGAGAGTTTCCCCTCAAGGTTCCATGCTGGTTTCGACCTCTATCGATGGTACTGCGGTTTTATGGAATTTACATGCCGGTACCAAGATTCACACGATGGTTCAAATGAATGGAGATGCAATAAGGGTCTGTAGGTAAGGAATTTATTCTTTTGTTTCCCGTATTCTCATAGCATGTTGAAATCCATTTTATGTAACTCAGGTTGAATCTACGCCTACCTCGTGGGTGGAATGAGTTTACTGTTCTGCACAACACGCACTGCGCTTTCCTCACGCTCTAGAGTCTAGAATAAAAGTTTTTGTTGCCTACTCGCTTCTCCACAAGTCAATCTAACGTTTGCGATGAATTTTTAATTACATTTCAAGGTCCTTACTCAGATAATCAATTTTTAATTTAAATACCATTTTCTCTGTGACCATGATTAGATGTTGCTGCCCTACTTTTGTTGCAGCATAAATGTCAAAGTATATTTCTGTTCCTTTAAATTAATAATGAACCTTTGAGAATGCTGTCTGTTCAAAACTTAATATTGATATTTCATGGTGCCCACCAAACGTAACATATATTTTGCTTCAGAAGTTTGAATGTATTATTAAAAAAGCAAATTTTACATTTTGTGTTTGGTAGGTAACAAACAAGGTAGTAAATTCGACTTTCCCCTCGTAATTTCTTCCAACCAAGATTTATTTCATTGCCCTCTCTTTATATTCCACGTGTTTATTTTATATATTTTTATTGAAAGACTACCATAGACTATCCAATTAGAGTATAACTATCATGACTGATTTTTAGATTCGCGCCTGATAGCTCTGTACTTGTGACCGCTGGTGATAATGGTGCTATTTGCATTTGGGACTTAGTACATCGAAGTTTAACAAGGTATGTACTCATATATATATTTCGGTTATGACAAAAATGATTAAATAGATCTCTGGAACTTCTACAACACTTTTTGCTATTATTTTGTACTCGATTTTGAATTTGTGCCGCAAGTATCTTCAAGGTGTTTCAGCTTGAAATTTAAATTATACGTTAGGATGGAGAATGGAGATGGAAAACCTCTATAAACCCTTTTCCTAGTATTGGAAAGCGTTGCAGAACATTTTGCCCTCCTCTCAGAGCTTTGTAGATCCTAGCACCTTTTTAATCGCTTTCCAGGGGGCTCTCCCAGATCTTCCTAGATTCCTTCTAGAAATCCATCCGTAACATTCTGATGCTTTTCAGTGCGCTTTTTGGACTCCTAGTGGTCTCTTATACTCTGCAGAGCCCGGGTTACATTGTCAGAGCATGCTAGAATCATCACAAAATCTTTTACACCCATTCTACGTTCTCAATAGGAAAGTTGAAAAGAAAGGGAAAATGTTTTATATAGCAGAGGAAGACATGAATCGTGACTGATTTGGTGGTGGTCGTAAACGGTTTTTTTTGTGACGTCACATGAATCAAATGACGACATTAATTTCACCAATAGTGCCTTAGATCGTCGAATTTAACACTATAATTTAATGTTGTTTTTTGAAATAAAAATAGATGCAATTAACGTTAAATATGTATCTTTTATATGTAAAACCCTTACATTTAAGGACGAATCAGTAAAATCATCCTCCAAAAGAATGTCTTAGTCCGTTTGTAACTTTTCAACCCAGAAAACTGAACAATGCTATAATTTTCAGAACAATTTTTCATCACGAAGGAACAACGCAAGCGTTAGCCTTTACCCCCGATAGCCAGTATTTAATAAGTGCCTGTTCTTTAGAAGTAATAAGCGTTTGGAGTATGCAGGATATTCTTGAAACGGCTGGCGAAGATTCGTGTTCATCCTTGGCTGTGATTGACAATGCTCATGACTTAGGAATTCTTTGCATGGATATCTCACCTGTGATTTTAAACAATGGTAGGTAGCGACAAAGATGGCGTGACATATTAAAATAAGACAGTCTTATTTGTAGAAGAAGACCCTCTAGTTAAGCAGTACACATTAGCCACAAGCGGCAATAGTCACGATATTAAAATGTGGACAGTATTGACACGTGTCAAGCCAAAGTACTGCTCCTCACAAAATCTGGTTTCCGTCGAGAATACCAACTCACTAATTGGACATAAATCTGCTGTCACTTGCATAAAGTATCACTCCACCGGAGCGTACCTTATTTCGTGTGGCCTTGATAAGTACATCAAAATTTGGGATCACAACGGAGGATGTATCACCACAATGAAAACTCACACTCGATATGTCAACTGTGTGTCGTTCTCAAGGGACGGTGGACTAGCCGTTTCGGGTATAGTTACACCTGTTGCACCTCATCTCGGTTTCATTCTTTTCTTTACAGGATCAAACGACAAAACTGTCATAGTTTGGGGATTGACGGAAGACATCTCTGTCGATTCCAAACTGGTTAAGCCCTTTGCGCTTTTGGCGAACGCGCTTAATAATCTACAAGAAATGCAAGTCGTCAAAAACGCGGAAAGTTCCGAGACGTTCGAGTTGGTGGAAAAAATAGACGACATTTTCGAAAGTGCCATTAACTCTTGTCATTTTTATGGCAATCACCTACTGGCCGTCGGATCGAGGTGAGTAAAGTGAAAATAAATTCCGTTATCTACTTTATGATTTTACTTAAAGTGATAAGCTAGTTAAACTGTTTAAAGTTGATGAAAATAACGCCATAGAAGAGACGGATTCTTCGCCATTAGACGGACATAGTTATTCGGTGAATCATGTCGAGTTTTCAAAGGACGGAAGCCGTCTGGCGACTTGTTCCTTGGACGGTTGTACCATCATATGGGATCCAAATGTGAGTTTTCTGTACAAAAAATGTGTAGACTTGTCTTAAAGGCTTATTAAACAAATTATTATTATTATGGTATTAGGGGTGGTGCCAGTCGGATCCTGCACTGCGACCACCTCTTTAACGAAGTCCAGGTTTTTGATAGGGCGGACTTTTTGTATAAGTTTCTCATTTTCAAGTAGGCGTTCCTTTGCTTTGCCTGGTTGATAGACACATTGGTGTTTACTGATGGACTCGGTGAATAAGTTTCTCCAATAGTTTTAGGAGAAACGACGTCAGACTGGTGGAATCTAAACGACTAGGCTTGGGCGTATGAGTCTCGCTCAGGTTTCGGAATGCAACTTCGACGTCCCTCCACACTATGGGTATGTATCCTAGGGGAATACTTATGTAATGTACATAGTGTGGAGGCTAACAGGCCGAGATCTTTTTGAAGTAGAGCAGGAAATATTCCATCCATTCCTGGGGATTTATGTGGATGGCAAGTCTTCACTACCCACCTATTTGCCAAGGCAAAACCCAATCTCCTCTGTTCCCCTTGAGAGGTGTTTCCACAGTATTTGGTTCGCCCGCCCGCATGATTTTGAGCGAAGGTCTTTGATCCCGGAAAGTGTGATTGAAGCAAAAGCTGCAGTGTTTCCTTTGCGGTCTCTGTATACCTCCCCTCAATTTTCTTCAAGAAACTGATTCTACCCTCTGTTCCTTTTTGTACAGTGCGATCAATAATGAGTTGCTGCGCCGCCCGCTTCAATAAATTATGACGTTAGTAATCATTTGCCGCAACAGGCGTGGTGCACCAATACTAAAACATAACCTTTAACTTCAAACCAAAGTAAACTTTTGACGTTTAACCATATTTAATCTAAATCAATGTAGAGCCCTTTGGAGTCTGGCACTTTCTGTAATTTGTTCAATTGCCTTCTCCTCTTCCTCCATGAGTCAGGTTTTGCCTTCCTTATGGCCTTATTATATTCAGTGAGTGTAGTTTGGTATGAACCCCATTCCCCTGTGTTTTTTTTGCTTGACTAAAAAGTTCCCTTGTCTGTGCCTGCAATCGAGAGAGTCCCTCGTGCCACCAGGGCAGGGGCGGTACAGCCCCACACAGTGTGAGAGTATTTTAGGCTCTCCAGTATCAGGTTTTTTTTGACGAAAATACACTTTTTGAAGCACCAGGAATCCGGATTTAAAAAAATCTCAATTATGTAGTTCGGTCTGTCGGTTTGTCTGTCTGTCTGTACTCTCATATCCGGCTCAATCGATTGCAACCAAATTTGGTACAAATATTTTTAACAAAAGGGCAGAATCGCGCATGCGCAGATGTGCGGGTGGTATCTGCGCTAGCCACAGCAAATGTTTTTAATAAGCCTTCAGTCTACACAATTTTGTGCCCATAATAGCTGTGTTATGGGAGTCAAAACTTTAGACAGGTGAAAAAACGATGGAACTCGTAGAAAGCAGTCTGGCGATTAGAAATTGCAGATTCTCCCCAGACGGAAAGCACTTAATCACGTCGGGAGATGACGAAAACGCGAATACGTGGGATCTTGAAACGGGAGAATTAATTGCGTAAGTAGCACACGCAGAAAACGCGAAGAGTGAACATTTCAAATTTCGGCAGAACCTTTGAGGGGCATTCAGACGCGGTCACGTCCGGATGTTTTTCACCGGATGGAAAAATTATGGCGACCACTTGCCATAATTCGGATTTTCGCTTGTGGACTGTCGAGGCGGTCAATATTCACATTCAAGACGACGCACACGATTTGGGTATACAAAATTCGGATTTTTCGGAGAATTTGGAGCCGATTCCTCTTCTCACAATGAATAATAAGCAGCATTATCTATTGGCCACATGCGGCAATGACAGTTTGGTGAAACTGTGGAGAATTTGCATACCGAAGGAGGATGACGAATATGCGTTTTCAAATGTAGAAGTGAAGCTGTGGCGTACCCTGCAAGGGCACGGAGGAAGTGTTACGTGTGTTCGATTATCACCGGAATCTGGAGAAATCGCTTGTTCAACAGCGACAGACAGGCAGGCGCGGCTGTGGTCGGTGTACAGTGCAGAATGCCTACATGTCTTAGATCACGATTCTATCGTTACTTCATGCTCCTTCACGTATGACACTTCTCTACTCGCCATCGGTTGCTTAGATAAAACTCTATGGATCTGGAAGTTACCTCAACAATTAGTAAGATGATAAAATACATATACCGCTACTAAAGTCGCAATTTTCTCAGGTGGTGCGATCGATGTTGCTCAATAAAGTAACGGCGTACAGACGAAAGCTTATAGTCAATTGGAGTACCGAAGACGTCCTCAAATGGTTGCATGAAATCGAGTTTACCAGCATAGTACCAAATGTCATCAACCTCGCTTTGAATGGGCAGAAAATTTTGACGCTTGAAGTGGAACAAATTTGTTCCGGAATGGGTTTAGGTAAGTACAAGACAATTTAGAGCGAAGACCAGTGGCCATTTCTGTATTCTACATTACTGCGTTTGTATTTCTACCATTATAGTATTCGCACGAGAGGATTTCGAAATTAAAATCTGTTTAACTGGGTTGCTAGGTTTTGCTGTGGTAATTACTGCCGGTTAAATTTTGGAAAATCTCTATTAGTGCAGTTAGAGGCAAAAAGAGGGGTTTTTTTTAGTTGTTGGCACATACTCGAACTTCACGCACATCCCGTGTGGCGAGACAAAAAGATTCCCTCCCTTCAGAATATTCAGCAGAATTGAATCTCTTCCCTACTTCAAGTTATATATTACAAATTCACAACCCCTCAGAGTCCCTCCCACTAACCGCATTGTATATACTTGGGTTGCCATAGTTAATAAATCGCAAGTCTAACGGCATTTAATGAGCCATTTTGGAAACGTGCGTTTATAAGGGTAAAAATGTCTGCTGAATCCGAATTCGGATGTTGCCAAGCTGATTTTTGGCTAATTTCAAAATGGCGGCCAAATATACAGAGTGAGCAACAAAGATTGAAGCGTGCCGCTTCAGCTAAATTGGCAATGTGCCGCTCATAGCATATGCTGATTTGATACAAGATACGAAATACGAATAGACGCACGTCACTGTGACAGCGCTGAACGTCATTTTCGTATACAACTCCATACAAAGAAGGTAGTTTTGATATTAATAGGAACAAGCGGTGATGACGCACGCTTCAATCATTGTTGCTCACACTGTATAAATTTGCATGCCAGACGCATTTTACATAGGTAGTTTTTCGGATTGAGGTGTTAAAAAAACATACAGGAGGCACAGAAAATTGCAAAACTTATATATTGGGTACATTATACAGACAACACGGTAACAATATAGAGATAATCCTGACGGCAAATGTATTACCTATATTTCGTTCAAAAATTTTAACGGAACTTAAATTTCTTCATCATTCTGCTCATTTTTTTTACGATTGAAGCAGTCGCCAAGACACTTGTTATTTGTAGATATTTGTGCACTTTTAGTTCATAGCATAATTTATTTAAAGCTAAGTTTTTAGGAGGACTAGTCTGACCATTCGATTTTTCAGTGTCTCTTATCGCATTTGCGAGACAATATGTATGGTACAAAATGTCCCCGGCAACAGCATCATGAGTAGATGCAACTCTACGCCCTTCTGTACCCACTGCACCCAATGTAAATTTCCATATGAGCGTCCGCCTAAAAAACTCAAGTTGTTTTTGAAAAATAAAATTTTATATTAATAATATATAAATTTTATATTTTATAAATTTACACCTTTATCTACAAAATATTCGGACTATTTTTTTTTTAAAGTTCATAGCAACTGAATATCGGCTGTTTAAAGATTAGATATTTTGCACCGATTATTGTGCTAACCTATTTTATTGTTTTATTCTCGATCAAGACGATTTATGGAAAAAGTAAACCCACAGTTTTCTAGATAAGTTACTTCTGAACATTACCCTAAAAAATGAAATCATATTTTTTGTAAATAAAGTCTGTATCTTGGCGGGCGGTAAATAAACAATTTGAGTGTAGCAAGTGGAGCCGCTGCACTGTATCGGCGGGAACGAAGGGGTAAACCACCTAGTTAATTCGGTGTACAAATAGTAGTTAATGAATTAAAATTAACTTTTAATGTAGTTAATATGTTCTGTAAATGCAGTTAATTTCAAGTTAATTCAGTGAATGTGCTAATGAACAGATCTCGGGACAGATGGACAGGCACCGTAAAATTATAAACTCTCTACGTCCTAGGAGATCGACCATAATCTGAAAATGTTGGTTATTTAAAATATTTTTGCTATAGTGTGTTTTATAAAGAATTTAATAACCTGTCATATTATGTAATAATACACAGGGTGTTCCATATCAAAGTCACATTTTTGTTATCATCTGAAAAATGCGAAGTGGTTTTGCTTTTTTAATTGCAGATTTGAATTCATTGGAAAAAATACGCAATTTTTATTTATATACATTTATATGTACAGTGTGTAAAGCGATGGGGTGTACAAGAGGGAAATTTTTTTTAAATATTGATTTATGAAAAAAATTTATTCTTCATGGTTGCTTTGAAAGTACCAAAAACGTTTCGATGGTTTGTGGATTGACAGCAATACGCTCTTTTGATTATAATGTAGCATTCTACATAACTTTCAATAAAAAAAATAAATTTTATTATTTTTTCAGATTTCTATAAATAAATTTTAGATTATCGAAACGTTATTGGTACTTTCAAAGCAAGCAAAAAATATCATGAAGAACAATTTTTTTTCATGAATCAATATTTAAAAAAAAAATTCCCTCTTGTATACCCCATCGCTTTACACACTGTATATATAGTTGGAAAAAACCTAAGTACTTACCAACGGTTATTAAAAAGCACAAAATTTAATAACAAACAAAATTTGCTGAGGAAAATGTAAAACACTAATTTAATTAATTCACAGCTTTTTTGGGACACCCTATATATCACCACAGGATATATTTTCCTACATTTTCCGAACTAGCTATGAAGTTAATTAACCAACTCTTACGTATATACAGGGTGTTACACGACCGTTCGAAAAAAAAAATCGGGTTGTAGAGGGCATCAAAACAAGCACTTTTTCCAAATAAACCGAGGGTCCAACGTGTTTCGTTTGGGAGCCACCCCCCAAAAAGTGTTGAAATCTGCATTTCTTCTTTAATTTTTTTCTCAGCAACCATAAGAGTTACAAAGTCGGGTGGCATGTCTTTGAATAGGTTTTTGGGTATGCTCTTTCCGATTTTGCAATTTTTTTTTCAAAATTCCTACCCCTAAAGGGCGTTGCTAAAAAAAATTCTGATTTCGACGAAATTTGGTATCTGGGGGTTTTTTAACATGAAAATCACGAATCTGAAATTAGTTTTTGAAAATTCGAAAAAAAAAGTTCCACTGCAATTCTTGGCGGGACAACCTCCACGAAATTTGTTGTGTACATACTAAACGAGTTAAGGAACAAAACTGTCGAACAGTTTTTTAAAATAACTTTTCAAACAAAAGTTATACTCATTTGAATGTTGGTCCTTCGGGTCGCGTGGTGTAAGCCAGGAGCGTGTTCTTTTGGAAGAGATTAGGATCATAGTGAAAAAGTATCATACGGAAAGTGATTTGACTTTTTCCCCTACCTTATTTAGATAATAAATAATCGATCAGCGCTTTAAGATACCTTGGAGGTGTTTTAATCGATACATCGGATTTTTTAATCATTTAATGACCGAATTAATTCCAAATAACAAAATATCGACTCAAACCGTTAATCTTTTGTTTTTGCGACATTGTCAACCAACACATGCGAAATTATAGCTTACTAGTAGGCTTGGGACACTTCGCGACCCGAAGGACCAACATTCCAGTTTTGCACACAACAAATTTCGTGGAATTATCTCTATTTTCGTTGTCCCGCCAAGAATTGCAGTGGAACTTTTTTTTTCGAATTTTCAAAAAATAATTTCAGATTCGTGATTTTCATGTTAAAAAACCCCCAGATACCAAATTTCGTCGAAATCAGAATTTTTTTTTGAAGTTTATTAGGGGTAGGAATTTTGAAAAAAAAAATTGCAAAATCGGAAAGAGTTTTTTTAATGCTGAGAAAAAAATTAAAGAAGAAATGCAGATTTCAACACTCTTTGGGGGGTGGCTCCCAAACGAACCACGTTGGACCCTCGGTTTATTTGGAAAAAGTGCTTGTTTTGATGCCCTCTACAACCCGATTTTTTTTTTTCGAACGGTCGTGTAACACCCTGTATACCTAAGTAATAAATTATGGAAAACAATTTAATACTAAATAGTACACAATACAATAGATAGTGGCGCCATCGTGCTGTATTTGTGAACTAGTGCAAAATTCGGCCTGGCAACATCCAGAATCGGATTCAGCACATTTTTTTACATCTAAAAAACCATGTGGCCAAAATGGCTCATAAAATGCCGTTAGAATTAAGAAACAGAGTCGTTTTTCGATTTGGCCACTTAACTATAATAGAATCGTTATCCGCGCAACCGAAAATTTCTACGACCAATTTCGACGAATATTGTCGGGGGACCTTTTTAAATGCGTGACTAAGTTGCCATTACAAGTAAGCTAATAATAAGCGAACAAATTCGTTTCGTAGAATTATCCCATTAACGTGCTCTCATTTAAACAAATTGTTACCACGAAAGTGTTGAGGTGCAAGGTGCAAAACGTTCATTGCGCTATATTTGGAGCAGCTAGCTACGTTAAAAAACAAGTTTTTTCAAAACTGTGCAATCTCTTATGTATACATGGTGTTATTAGATTTACATGAAACGGCAACCAGTAAAAAGACCATTAATTCGTGCTTTTTAGGCTGTCAAAAAAAACCTTAGTTATAAGGGTCATTTTGGACTTTTCCATACTGCGGAACGTTGGTTAATTATTCCAGTAAATAAACCAAATTTCAACTAATAAATTGCGGCAAACCTGAAACACGGTTTGTTCCGGATTCAAATTTGTCAACCATATTTCGAGATTCGAATTTGTAAATGGCGGAATAATGTAGGCCCTGCTTTCTACAGCCCACACGCACCCATGCAGCGTCTCTACTCATTCTAATGGGCTCCAGAACCTGGTGGTATAACCTCAGGAAGTGAAAATATGCACTGGGTGATAATTGTTTTCAATTTGTTAGAGCGAGTAGTTGAGCTAACTACTGTCACCATACATATGCATACCAAGATTTTCTCACCTGCTGCTGAAATTTCTTGGGAACTGGCAGCAGGCTCATCGAATCTCTCCGTGTGGTCCACCAATGATAGGTTGGCAGAATTGATTCTTTCCAAAACCAAAAATGTTTGAAGTGGTGTCGCAGCCCGATATGGCGTGCAGGAGCAAGCTACAGCCTTTAGAGTTGTACTTCTAGGAGTAGGGGAATAGATTGCGTCTGTATGTTTCCCACTCGCTGGTTTTTTGAGGTAGACATTTTTGACGCAGGTGTTGTGCCAGTCAACAGGACTAGTAGGTTAATGCCATGCCTTCCCCGACAATGATGATCGTGTCGTACGTGGAAGAGAGGCATTTAGCTGCGGCAACTATCAATCATCAATTGCATGTTACTGGAGAGCAGGTTCTTAAAGCGGTCCTTGCTCCCTCCATTGGCCAGGAACTTATCCTGAGGTGTAGTGTTAACAGTTGTGTCAAACACCACATCTGATGATGCCTTGTACTTTCTTGCTTATTTAGCAGTCTTGATTCTTTGCTGAGAAGGATCTGTAGTGTCACCATCACATGGGTACCAAAGTGACGCCTTGACGAAAGCCTTGCAAATCTCTCTAAAGGTTGAGCTTTCGTTCCATACAACCTTGTACAGAAGGTACCACCAATAGCGACCATGGAAATTGTGAGAGTTGGAAGGCAGATGGCGTTGATGTCACGTTGCTGTACTTCTCCATTTCTTGAGCAAAATTTTGTAGTAGGTCAGTCCACTTCAACAGCGTGCTTTCAGTTATGCCCTGTCCGATTATTCTTCCCATTATTTCATATCCTTCATGAGCATTTGCTCAATAGTGTAACGGGTGGTCGCTTTAAACCATTTTTTTAATTTATATTTTGGTAAGCATAGGAAGATTTACACATGCACCGCTTTATAGCGAACAGAAACAAAATTACGTCTGGGAATAAAACAACAGTGTGTTTTCAACAAAAGATGTTTGGGTTTTTTATCTTTTGAGAAGAGCGAGCATTGGTTAGATCGTGTAAACGGACACATTTGGTCACATTTTTTTTAATTGATCTAAAAATGTAGTTTTAGGCAAGGCGCAATTGAGACACACACGGCGCACACACACAACTCATAGCAACACACGCCTTATGTTCTGTTAAAATTACTAAAAAATCCTGGCTGTTAGATACTGTGTGGCGCCAGGTGTGGTTCGTATAATCGTATGTTATCCTAAGCGTCAAAACCTGCGTGTGCGCATAATTCCAACAGAATAAAAAGTGTGATCATGGCTTGCGTTGCGTGCGCCACGTGTGCATCATTTTGTTTTAAACATAGGAATTTGACAATTGTTGGTTGCATCGGTCAAAATCAACATGCCATTTCTACTATAAATTTAACTGATTTAGATGACGAACAAGAAGAGAGGTTCGCCAAGGAACTCAAGTGGCTAAAACTGGACGAGTTACAGCACCCCAACGTTTCGGACAATCAGCCGGGTGAGGTTCCCCCCGAATATCTGTGCCCAATTACCCAAGAGATAATGCGAGAGCCTGTACGATGTAGCGACGGTTTCGTATATGAAAAACAAGCTATAAACGAATGGTTTATGTCGGGCAAATTTACTAGTCCCATGACGAACGAAACGTTGACCGATATAAACTTTACCATGGATCAGGAGATGAGAAATGCCATTCATAACTTTCTGTATCAGGATATGTAAGTCTCTATTCTAAATATTTCAATTCATATCGGTGACGGGAGCAGGCTCACAAATGAGTGAGATACAAAAGTCTGCCTCATTTTCTAACTATTTTAGTGTTCTGTATTAGTGCCTTTGTTATTATATACTTAGTAGATGTTTTAGACATATACACATATTGTAGGACGTGCATCAAGTCAAAATCTATTTCTTGAAAATCAAAAATACACCTTTGATAACAGTTCACATTCCTAATGTAAATTATAATTATGAGGCTTATAGCCTAAAATGTAGGAATAGCTGAGGTCATAGCTTTTCAAACGTTCGACAAAAAAAAAACTTTAATACTATGTGAGCGCTATGAACTTGGCGTATGTCTGTTTATAGCTTGAAACTACACACTGTGATACTATTTTGAAATTTTTAATTTTCTTTCACAAAGTTTATCTCAGGTTATAGTAAGCAAATGTTAATATTAGCATGCCGGAAAAAGTAAGTCTGTCGCACATGGTTAAAATTCACTCTGTTAACTCTAGGAAAGTTTAAATTTATATACTTACATTTTGTAGAAATAGAGCGACAATGTATTTGATATTATAAATTGCGAGAGTAATTTAGTCAGATTAGAGACATGGAATTAGTAATGGTCGATGCACCTTTGCATATTTGCAGTTTCTGTTAGTAAATTTTGAATTTGAAAATGCTTTAATTGTCACATTTTCATTTACTATTTTTGCTCAGTGCACAATAAGCCTTGGTAAATAATCGCCGTTGTCAGTTACTGTTAATTTCATTCGAATATGAGACACATTTGCAAAATGTAGAAAGCGCAATAACACCTTCATGTCTAATAAGAGAACACCAAATACATGTTCAATTTACATTTTTAATTGTATTGAACCTCTTTTCTATGTTTGTATACAATAATGTAAATTTTAGAAAATAAACTTTCTAGCACCTTCAAAATGTGATGTTTATATATCGGTAACATTGTAATGGTTCAGCGCACACACACAACTCATAGCAACACACGCCTTATGTTCTGTTAAAATTACTAAAAAATCCTGGCTGTTAGATACTGTGTGGCGCCAGGTGTGGTTCGTATAATCGTATGTTATCCTAAGCGTCAAAACCTGCGTGTGCGCATAATTCCAACAGAATAAAAAGTGTGATCATGGCTTGCGTTGCGTGCGCCACGTGTGCATCATTTTGTTTTAAACATAGGAATTTGACAATTGTTGGTTGCATCGGTCAAAATCAACATGCCATTTCTACTATAAATTTAACTGATTTAGATGACGAACAAGAAGAGAGGTTCGCCAAGGAACTCAAGTGGCTAAAACTGGACGAGTTACAGCACCCCAACGTTTCGGACAATCAGCCGGGTGAGGTTCCCCCCGAATATCTGTGCCCAATTACCCAAGAGATAATGCGAGAGCCTGTACGATGTAGCGACGGTTTCGTATATGAAAAACAAGCTATAAACGAATGGTTTATGTCGGGCAAATTTACTAGTCCCATGACGAACGAAACGTTGACCGATATAAACTTTACCATGGATCAGGAGATGAGAAATGCCATTCATAACTTTCTGTATCAGGATATGTAAGTCTCTATTCTAAATATTTCAATTCATATCGGTGACGGGAGCAGGCTCACAAATGAGTGAGATACAAAAGTCTGCCTCATTTTCTAACTATTTTAGTGTTCTGTATTAGTGCCTTTGTTATTATATACTTAGTAGATGTTTTAGACATATACACATATTGTAGGACGTGCATCAAGTCAAAATCTATTTCTTGAAAATCAAAAATACACCTTTGATAACAGTTCACATTCCTAATGTAAATTATAATTATGAGGCTTATAGCCTAAAATGTAGGAATAGCTGAGGTCATAGCTTTTCAAACGTTCGACAAAAAAAAAACTTTAATACTATGTGAGCGCTATGAACTTGGCGTATGTCTGTTTATAGCTTGAAACTACACACTGTGATACTATTTTGAAATTTTTAATTTTCTTTCACAAAGTTTATCTCAGGTTATAGTAAGCAAATGTTAATATTAGCATGCCGGAAAAAGTAAGTCTGTCGCACATGGTTAAAATTCACTCTGTTAACTCTAGGAAAGTTTAAATTTATATACTTACATTTTGTAGAAATAGAGCGACAATGTATTTGATATTATAAATTGCGAGAGTAATTTAGTCAGATTAGAGACATGGAATTAGTAATGGTCGATGCACCTTTGCATATTTGCAGTTTCTGTTAGTAAATTTTGAATTTGAAAATGCTTTAATTGTCACATTTTCATTTACTATTTTTGCTCAGTGCACAATAAGCCTTGGTAAATAATCGCCGTTGTCAGTTACTGTTAATTTCATTCGAATATGAGACACATTTGCAAAATGTAGAAAGCGCAATAACACCTTCATGTCTAATAAGAGAACACCAAATACATGTTCAATTTACATTTTTAATTGTATTGAACCTCTTTTCTATGTTTGTATACAATAATGTAAATTTTAGAAAATAAACTTTCTAGCACCTTCAAAATGTGATGTTTATATATCGGTAACATTGTAATGGTTCAGCAGTTGTGGAAATATTTTTATTTATTCTTTGCTATTTGCAATGGCGTGCAGCCACTACGCCACCACCAAAACACCTGTCCAGCTAGCTTAAAACAAAATTGACACTTAGAATTTTATAATCTCTACTCTCTAGGACACGTCCGCAAATCCCTGCTTGTTTGGACATAATACCGCGCACGCAGGCGGTCGATAAATAAAATCAAAAATTAAACAATGAATTCGTTTTTTTTCAATAATCCAAATAATCTGCCTCTCGCCCCTTTCAAGTTACATAATATATGTGGCCGCACACACCGGTCCTTCCCATTGTCAAGCTTGTGGCGCCCAGTTTTATAATGCATTCGGACAAAAAACAGAAATACTTAAGGATTGTAAACGAAGACATTACAGAGAGAAAAATCAAGGCTATTGACATGAAATACTTACATGTGAAAAGAGAAACTAGAAGTCATAGGATCTGAAAGGAAACTAGAAGGTATCAGGGAAGCAGTTTAAGATGATTTGAGCTTACCTATGCAAAGAATGGCAAACAAAAAATAAGTGAAGCACATTAAAAGAAGGAAGAGAAGAAGCACAAGCACGATAGTTATACAATCCTTTGGAGAAGAAAGGTGGACTGAAGTAAGTGAAAAACATCATTTGTTTAAACAAAAGTGTAATACTTCAAAGCTAAAAACGGTTATTTTGCTTCATAAATATGTAAGTAATTTACGTCAACTCCCATGTCAAATTTACACCAAGACAAGACTGAACAATATAAGGTAAGTGGCTATTTCCAAACTTAAAAAATAAATGTGGGTTTACGTGTACGGTATACTTCATAGATAGTTCTTTAAACAATCTAATAAAAATCTCTCTAATTATTTTAAACATTTACTGTTTAAAAGACAACACCCTGTATATTTAATGCAAGGATAAGTTCCGGAAAGACAACTTACGAGGTTTTGAAAAGCGCTAGTAGGGTATGAAAAGTCTTCTAAATGTTTTCCAGTGTTTTCTAGGCGCTTTTTCTACAGTTTTGTTTTAAGCTCTCGGCCAAAATTCGACTATTTATTTATACAGTTTTGCAAATACCTACAGAAAAATACAGAGTTTACGGGATCAAATAAATCAAGATTTTACAATTTAATTTTAGGTGCAGGGAGTACAAAATAAAATTCACTTGTGGCCTTCGTAATGCTTGATAAATACACACAAATTTCTAAAATTTAATGGCCGCCTTGAGCCTTTTAAACTAAGCGCTCTGATTGGATCATTTTTTTTATCAGATCAGGTAGGTAGCGACTTACGTAGTAGTCTCAACCGAACGCTCTGTGTTCAGTTCGTGTCACGTGACTCAGCTTATCATTGTAGTCGCTCGCGAGTCCCTCAAGTTTTTCTACGATTTCCACAAATTTATGAGTGGTAATCATAAAATTAATTGCGAAACAATAAAAGTACAAACGCGGAAAATGTGGGGCATCATTTGTTTCGGCCCGATATTTATTTAACCGGTATATTTTTAAACAAAAGTTTTGAATAAGTATGGCGTCGCTTTTCATGATAGTTTGAATTTAAAGTTGTCCGTTGTGAATGTTTTGGTTTTGTGGAGTTAACAAATTAATAATAAGTAAGTAATTCGGGGAAATCTCGGCACTTTGCTCGCGTCGATGCTCATTTGTTGTTTGAAAACTATCTGGAGAAGATGACTTGCATTTTCAATGTGATAGTGCCCGGTTTTAACTATAAACTGTGCTTGAGATCAAGACACCTAAGATTTCATGGATATGCCGATTTGGGTAAGTTGGTAGATCTTCAAATATAACCTTAGTTTTGCGCTAGCTTCGGTACTTTCATACTCGGTTTAGGTATTGCTGCCTTATAATAAAACTACACATTTAAAAGTACTAGATATAATTAGCTTCAGTTTAGATGAATAAAAATATGACACGCTTCATTAATCATCTGCAAAACACACATGACAATTGGGTTTAATCATTTTTAAACTTTTCTGTACATTGGTGAAAACCATGAATCCATCGTCGCAAGTTCACCCTGCGCGTAAAGCTCGCCTTTGCATTGAACCAGTCTCCACCAATTAGTTTCAGTACGAAAACCATATACATAGATAGCTCCAAAAAAGAACCAAATACAAATAACTTCCATCAAATTATACATTATTTGTTTTTAAATTTTAATTCATAGTTTGGATAAATGAAAAAGTCCTGATAGGAACTTGAAATCGATAGCTCTGGTAGCTGGTTCGCGAGCTAAACCTTTCTTGTAAATCTTCATTTATACAGAACCTTATAGAGGTACTATTTATTTCACGACACAAATTTATATACATTATTTACAACACCCTTTAATACAAATTGAGCACTACTAACATTTTGAGTCGACATTTATATTTAAGTGAACGCTTAAGCAGTTGATTTAATTTTAATATATACCTATCTCACTTTTCAGTTGCTGAGAATAGAGGCGACTGCAGTGTTTGGTCCCTACTTTGGTTCGTGCCAGTTCTTAGAAGGACCTAAATTATAAGCTTAAACGGTAAGTGTAGACATATAGCCTCAAAGTAAAACATTAAAATGCATGAAGATGCTGTTTATTATGCAAATTTACAATGGGGAAGTTATAGGGCTTTAAAGTTACGCTTGGGAATATAGTTTTGTTTCAGTGTGTGACGTCGCTTGACCTATTCGCATACGATTCCTATTCGTTCGCTTAGTACGTGAACGGTTGGTTATTGGTGGACCGCACCGTTACCAGTCACTGCGACACTCGCTTAGGTCAAATGACGTCACAGGCAGTTAACCCACTACTGTGTTGCGCACTGAACACAGTCATTCATTGACGGATTTTCTATTTTTTTTTCTAGTTTATTAGTTTTGATCAACAATTTAATGTTGTTAGGTTAAATATTGCATTACCAATATCATGAAAGTTGACCATTGTTTGCCTAATTCTACTTAGATTTTCACATTGTAAACATCAAATGATTTTCTTTATTTTTAAGTTTGGCAATACTATAACGAAAATTTGTTCTGTTTCAGATTTGAGAGCGGCAGCGTTATAAAGGTAGGATTTTATTTTTTGTGCATGGGTTTTTGGGACGGTATCTTTTGATGTAGTCGTCAAATCGAAATGTCTATTGTGGATTTTCCAAAGGGTAGAAATCATTTTTCGAATATGTTTCCTTTTATTTTGTTATTATGGCAATTTAAAGCGCGCATGACGCAAAAATCTCCCCAATTGTATTTTAACATGGCAAATGAATGTCAACAAAATAATAATAGTAAAGCAGTATTATGCAGTGTGTCGCAAATTCGAGGGTGACCATTGAGATATAGGAAACAGTAAGACATACGACCTAGTTTGAATGAAGGCAAAGCTATACATTTTGGGGCCAAATCTACAGTTGCTCCGACTACTTTTGGAAAAAAATCGGAAAAACCCGAAACTGGGTAATTTTTTATTGACTTCCCCTAGAAGCAGGCATTATTTTTTCATGCACACTTGGGTCTAAGGTAGGACAATATTGATATTCACCAGTTAGTTGGTGACAATTAGTGAAACATCTAAAGCGGATTTAAAAAAGCGGCAAAGCATCTCAGTGTCAAGTGTGCAATCGGTCCAAGTGTTTGCCAGTTATCACGTTCACAGGCGAACTCCCCTATAAAGTTTGCATCGTTTTGCTCTGCCGCTTAATAAAGCCTCATCAATGTGACACATTCACAGTCATCATTTCAGAAGAATGGAATAACTCAGCTATTGGTTGCAAATTGTCCAATATTCACCTTTTGTTTAGATCTCCGTTTTCATTTCATCTTAGGTCAGTAACAAAGACATGAGTTTGAAATATTTTATTTGCCACTTTTAATTCAGGTTAAATTAATGGACAATTATAAACAAAATATGTTTACAATTAATCATGAGCGCATTTACAAAAAAAAAAAGTTTACACCTATGAGATCCAATTTAATGCACCTCGAGTAAAGTGGTACGATCACAAAACAGATGTAAAACACAAAAAATAAGTTACATGTCTTAAAGTAGACTAATCAATTCTCTCTTTTGCCTCGCAACGCGAATAGGACTTAAAAACTAACTGATTTCCTCATTACTTGTACGCTTAACTTAATACTTTTTTTTTTAATTACTATTTTGTACAAAATTGAAATAAATATAACATCTACACTAAAGCATAAAACGAATGTTTAGGCAGTAAAATCCATATTAACTCTTTGTTAATACAATAATCGATCCTTTACTACTTTCCGTGACACGCGCCCACTTTGATTATTTTAATTAAGGCAGATCTAAGTAAATAAAATGGCAATTTTCAGTACGACTCCTCAATCAAAATGTGTCGGAACACATCGATTACTTAAAGCACTGAAAAGTGTGACTGTGACTCAACATGGGCATCACCGGTAAATTAATAAATAAAGTTATCTTGTCTAAAAAGGTCATTGTGATTATTATTAGCTATCCTTTTTTCTCTCAATTAACTACACACAAGTGATTAGACACAGTATAAACGAATAAATAAATTTCTTAAATTATATTTAATGATAAATCGTTTGTTAAGGTTGCCAGTACCTGTTGGACAATATGAGGTAAGTGGCGGAGAGCCTCTGTCACGCCTGTTCTACGGGCTGTTCTGATGCGTAAGGTCTGCCGTCTCCGTACATGCTCACTGATGCTATGTAATTATTTGGCATTACCTGCAAAAAAGTTCCATTATCTCAATCAAAAAGTGCTACTTGAAAAACTAAATAAAAATTACTAGATATGTATAGGGTGGTTTAAGTTCTTGGCTCAAACAGATATGTAAAACACAAAAAATAAGTTACATGTCTTAAAGTAGGGACTAATCAATTCTCTCTTTTGCCTCGCAACGCGAATAGGACTTAAAAACTAACTGATTTCCTCATTACTTGTACGCTTAACTTAATACTTTTTTTTTTAATTACTATTTTGTACAAAATTGAAATAAATATAACATCTACACTAAAGCATAAAACGAATGTTTAGGCAGTAAAATCCATATTAACTCTTTGTTAATACAATAATCGATCCTTTACTACTTTCCGTGACACGCGCCCACTTTGATTATTTTAATTAAGGCAGATCTAAGTAAATAAAATGGCAATTTTCAGTACGACTCCTCAATCAAAATGTGTCGGAACACATCGATTACTTAAAGCACTGAAAAGTGTGACTGTGACTCAACATGGGCATCACCGGTAAATTAATAAATAAAGTTATCTTGTCTAAAAAGGTCATTGTGATTATTATTAGCTATCCTTTTTTCTCTCAATTAACTACACACAAGTGATTAGACACAGTATAAACGAATAAATAAATTTCTTAAATTATATTTAATGATAAATCGTTTGTTAAGGTTGCCAGTACCTGTTGGACAATATGAGGTAAGTGGCGGAGAGCCTCTGTCACGCCTGTTCTACGGGCTGTTCTGATGCGTAAGGTCTGCCGTCTCCGTACATGCTCACTGATGCTATGTAATTATTTGGCATTACCTGCAAAAAAGTTCCATTATCTCAATCAAAAAGTGCTACTTGAAAAACTAAATAAAAATTACTAGATATGTATAGGGTGGTTTAAGTTCTTGGCTCACGATTGGGATCTCCATAATGGTGAGAGATACGGTGTAGGTTAAATGCGGGCAAAGTTTTATTTGTGAAAAACACATTTGAAATTATTGAAAAATCGTTGAAAATAATTGAGATCACCGAAAAACTGAAAATGTCAAATTTCGTTTTTATTTTCCCTAGTTCCAGCAGTTTTGAATTATAGGTGGTATAACATAACAAATGACCATTATTAATTATGAATATAATATTATTTTTATCCTGGAATTAATTTATACCAGCTTTTACAACTGTTTGATATGATCACCATTTTTTTTAAAAACGGCTAAATCAAATGTCAACATATTATTATATTTTTGAAATTAGAAACAAAAGAGCAATTCAATTTTTGAAAAATATACAGGGCGTTTCATTATAAATTTACCAAATTTGCATTTTTTTCTAACCTTGCGATATTTATTTGTTTTTTTGTTTACTTTACAATTTTCTGGCAATTTTAAAATTTTTTTCTATCTCTTATAATAAACGCTGTGTCGAAATATACAGAATAACCCTGTACATAGCTTTTATTTAGTGTTCTTCATGAGCAATGATTTTTTGAACAGATGAATTTTTTGTTACTGGGGGGGGGGGGGGGAGGGGACATGTGAAATTACCTCAAAAATGATGTCTTGATAACCATAGCAGAAGGTGCTTCCAAATGGATTAGTCGTATTCGTCGAACTGGCCCGGTTTAGTACGACCGGTTTTTCGCTCGGTGTCAAATGCTTGCACAGATCGTCCCATCTCGAATAAGCGGTAACCTTAACGTCGGCCAACGGTAGAAGAAACTCGCACCTTTGGTACATGTTAAAATTATAATGACCAGGGTAATTGGTGTGCAGCACTAGCTTTTTCGCCAGATGCGAACGGGCGTCGAATAAAATATCGATGCCCAAAGTAAAGTAATTGAAGAAATAATCGCTTCTACGCTGTGTAACTCTACGATGAGCGCTGGGACTGTGAATCCGCATTTTATCTTCGCTCTTGTAGAAAATCCTCGATGGCGTTCCTAAAGCGGTCGCGACATCTTGTGTCGAGTCGCCCAACAGCAGGTGCTTTTCAAATTCCAGTTTAGTCGAATCGATTCTTCGAGAATGCCCGCCGGCTGTTAGTGTAAGACGCAATCCTTTCGTGAAGGAATCACCTCGTAACACCTCGGCGTTTCTTAAATACAACTGGCCATGATAACATGACAGAGGAAGTTCGGGGGCGGATGCCTGCTCTAAACTGGATCCGCTGTAGATCGCCGTGCGTGACACCAATGGTGAACTTCCGGGAGGGAAATGCAGCGAACCTACGTTAAATATCTAATCTTAATCTAATCGTTTAACAAGAAAATTACCTAAATTATGAGTATTGCCCGTTTGAAATTTGGACTCCACAGGAAAATAAAACGATAAACCTCTGAAGTTAAGCGCGAATAGCTGCTTCTCGGCGTCAAACACACCGGGATGCGTAGCTCCGAAGGAATGCTCAATTTGTTCTATCGATGGAAGCACTTCTGGGCAGTTGAAAGACAATCCACTAAAAAAGAACAAATGAGATTCGTTCACGACTTCGCGCACTTACCAATACTTTAATTTGACTAGCTTCATATTGTATATCTCTATTACCTTTAATCTTTGAACGATTGGATCGAAAAACAATCTAATACCGTCTTGAGGTAGGTTTATTATTATATCTACTTCTAAGGGGTTCTGAAAGCTAACAAACTCAGTAAAAAATTACACATTGCAATCACTTACCGAGTCATTGTACATAACTTGCACACCTTTGATTTGACCCACTTGGGATTGTATGATAGCGACGGATTGTGAAAAGTGCATGCCTGTAACAGAAAAACAAAGGTGATTTTTCTAGGCAGATCTGGGATGAACCTATGATTCAAATCACGAAACATCGTTTTGGGTCTTTAAAATGATTTTAATGCGATGATCTTCAAAACGGATTTCAATCTTCTCTGACTCTGTCCTAGAGAATCTTCTATGGATTCTTTTGGCATTAGGTATTTTTTTAAATATTCTTGAAAAAATTTTTTTAAATAAATTTCACAAAAATTTTTCATTGAACTGTTTCAAAAATCTCAAACAATTCCTAGAAATGATCTTGGAATCATTTTAAAATCTTAGGAATTGAATCTGCTTCAAAAGGTCCTTTCAAAATAATGCTTAGTAGTTTTTGAAAAATATGAAGGACATTCAAATCTGCAATTCAAGAATTTAGAACATTATTTTTTAATTTTCCAAAATTTAAAGATGTGCGCACGATTATTTTGTTAAAATTTGAAGAAATAATTAAGATAACAAAAGGTGCACAACCGCATTAGCTCTGATTATTCCTTAATTTAATTTTTCCCATGGAGTTTCAAATATTTATCTAACATAATCAATAACGATAGTCCAAACGACTTCTTAATGACGCAAATAAGGAGCGTGAAGCGTAAACGAATAATTCTAAAAAAATTACAATTCCAAATTTCAGATTGAAGCCCTTTCCTTCTGCCCCGCATTAAAATATGGTAGGTTACGTCATAAGCACTAGATAAGTAATAACAAAATTTGTCAGAATTTCATTGTAAACGCTGTCTCTCCGAAACCCAAAATTGGGTTTTTGTTTAAATTCACTAGAAAATAACTTTTTCGATGCGACACCCCGTATCAGGAAGAATTTCGTTCACAGTGTTTGCGGTCACACTCCTCCGAAACGGCTCAACCGATTTTTATGAATTTTTTTGTGTATTTGCTAGGTATAAGAATAGGTCGTAAAGCATATTTCATATCGCTAGGTGATGATATAGTTCGCCGGGTGGGCGAGATGAGGCGGCGTGCGCCGCCGAAACCGAGCGTATGTCCCATATTGTGTTTTTACTTCTGATTTTATTTGAACAGATACAAAAGAAACACTTTCTCATTGCTACTTTTTGAGCTCTACAAGACAGCTTTGAGAGATTTTTAATACAACGTTGCGGTTCAGAGAAATCATGAAGTTTATTTTTTTATATGACACGCAAAAAAAGTGCGCGCATACTGTAATGAGTAACATTTTATTACAAATACAACGTTGTATGGTACAAAAAAAAAACAAGAGTTGAAAACGTACAACGTCCTAATAGTGTGAGAATTTCTATTGGACGAATATGCGGGAAAATGGAAAAATTAGTTAGACGAAACGGTTTACAGGACTTATAAATATATTCGCATTTTGCTGTCAAAATCAACTAAGCACTCACTAACTAAGCATATTGGAATATATATACTCGCTTCGTCAAAAAGGGGTCGGCGATGGTCGCGCCTGCATAAATCAACTGGAAAAGGCAGCGTTTTTTTTTTTAATTTTCAAAAGCTGAGTTTGGTTTCCGTATCTTTTTGTCGAATTTGCCACCTTTTTAGGACATAGAGAAAAATGGACCTAGGGGTCTGGAGCTCAATTTTAAAGAGAAAATCACTGGCGAAAACAGACTTCTTTCTTAAAGTACTTTTTTATGTATCACAATACACAGTTTGTATACAGGGTGTTTGCTTTTTTTATACGACCCTAAACTGCATTTTTTATATGAACTAACCTATACAAAAATTCCTAAATGTTGATGATGATCGAGATGCATTCTACATAAAAAAGTGCTCTAAGAAAGATGTTAGCAGAACAGAATGAACTCGAGAATGAATTATCTTTAATAATAAGAAAGTTATGGAGTATTAAAGAAATTGACTAAATTCGAGAAACGTCCTCTAGCGACCAAATGATTAGAGACATCTGATTTCTGTTTGCGCCAGTGATTCTCTCTTTAGAATTAATTTTTCTAAAAAAGTGAGAGTGAGAGTTAATTCAAATATCAGATGGCATTATATGGCAACCGAAAGCGAGTAGCTCTGCAGCACAATAAATTGCACCGTGCGCGTGCGTTCTGTACGATAAAAAATATTTTTCATCCCCCTGAAAAAGAGGTGGGTTTTTTTTCAGAAATTGTAAATATCTTGGAAACGACTCAATGTGGGGGCCCAAACATTGTTTTCTTTTTTGTCCTCCAAATTTCAGACCACTGCGACTTTTTTTCGCAAAAGTAAAAAACGAAAAAAACAATTTTTCGCGGAATATTTGAGGTTATGTAAAAAAAAGTACCGAAATAGAAAAGTTGTTCACTTTTTTATTCCCAACTTTTGTTTCGAACATTTTCGCGTAAAATTAATAGTTTTGCCACAAATTAGCAAACATCCCTTTCAACCCACGGGATTTTGTTTTGATTACACAAAATACAAAAAACCAGGTTTGGATCGGGAACTCATTTTTTTTGGGAATAATTAGTACCCACAAGCATTTTTTTCGATTTTTTTGTTAACAATTTTTGTCCATTTCACATTTCTTTATTAGACAGTCCACCAATCGCACCTTAATCGAATTGGTTTGTTACATTTTTGGGATATAAGCTCGGTTTCAGCGGTTGCGTCACCTCGCTGAAATACTTGATGGGCCATTACGTCTGCTCGTCTTGTAGGGTTTCATCCATGAATATTAGATCTCGTATTAGATAATGTATAATATTCATTACGCTTTCATTTTACTGCTAAAGGTCCTTGTCTCAGACCTTGCAGATGAGGTCGCTGGAGATCATGTGCCAAATTTGGTGTTGATAGCCCTATAGGTAACAGACAGACAGACAGACAAACATTGCCATTTATAGAGATTAATTTCAAATTTGACACCAGTGAGGTGCCACACACGTTAGTTGTTAGCTTATTTGAGTGTGACTTTTTCTTACATTTTATGAATGTACAGTTTGTTGATTTAATTCACAATATTATGCATTATTTGTTATCGAAAGTCATTTATATACACAGGCCCTGGGCTACAGTCAAAAACTCTGATTTTTGGGCGCTAAGGGCCACATAATTTACTTTATTGCAATAAATGGTCAGGTTAAAGCTCAAAATTTGACTGACAACATACTTAATGGAAATTTCTGTGATAAAGTGCATGTAATATTTTGACAAAACATAAATTGAAAAATAATTGTGCAACAAAAAATATAAAACAATGATATACTTATCAATACTACTTTCCAATGGATTCACCAATAAAAATGATTTAACGAGAATAAATAGTCTGGGAGTATTTTTGTTAAAAAAAAGAGGATAATTTAGAGTGTCATTTAAATATTATAACAATAAAACGGTTTAAAAAAAAGAATACTCACCAAGCACAAATTCCCATTGTTCACAGCCCAAGGAACGTTCGGGAACGATCTCTAAATTCAGCATGTTTTTGCTTTAGATCGAAACTGGAGTTTCAAAAGTACGAAAACAAAAATCACAGTTAACTTTATGAACAATTTGTTCGAATTACGACGCACTCTTTGTTTGAGTTGAGCTCACGACGCCATACTAAAAATACAACTGTCACACAGTAACAGCTGATTCGACAGCGGCGCCACCTTTCTGTCACGGATAATTAAGGGTCAAATTCCCGCACGCATTTCACAATAAAAACAAACAGCTAAATATTTTGATTTTTTCGAATTTAATGGGCCGTATTCGATGGAGGCGCCATGCAATTACCGTCCGGATAGCGTTTCTTAAAGTTTTCTATTAAAAGCGGATCGACAAGCCGTATTCCGTCAACTTGATTACCGAGGGTAATCCAATTCGGCTGAATATTGTGCGGCCTTCCGAACAACTCGATCTTTCGGGTACCGGGCGAGAGACGTTCGATCATGCCGTAAATCTCGTCCGGCTTGTGACTCGTCGCGCGCACCTCCGCGACAATCACGTCCGAATCTAAGCCACGATTCAAATTCTGCGGACTGCCCTTCATCCCGACCAAGCAGTGCTCCTTACCGTGATTCAACCAGTGTCCGGTACGGCCCGTGCGGATAATCCTTTGCAACTGATTGGTTTTCACCCAGATTATTTCGTCGACACGTTCGTAGCCCCACAATTTTAAACACTCGCGTCCCAACTCCATCGCGCGACCGGTCACCCACAAGAAGATTAAACCGTCGTCTTGCAGTTGAGGTATGCCCAGCTGTCGCATTTCGTCGTCGGACATTGTTCCGTATGGAAGCTCCATGTGAATGTCCCAGGGAGGGTCGGCCATGATCACTGCGAACTTACCTAAAAATGTAAAACTAAGAAGGGATTTTTAATGTAAATGCATTTTTTATAGCATTTATTTATAACAAACCTAAAGCGGTCATATCCAAATATCGCAAATCACACTGCACCCACTGAGGCGGGTATAAAGTTGTACTTTCCGTGCTCGATAACGTACGACTCTGTACAGTCGGTATAACATCCTTACTTTGACCAGCACGATCCACCTCGTAATGCACATACTTGCACGTATCCATATGGAAACAAGTGTTCAAAAATGAACAGTCCCCTAACGATTCATCCGTATGCTTCTGTATTATTTTCTTAAAGTGCAACTTTTTGCACTGCTTGTTGCTCGCGTTCCGTTGACATTCGGCCTTCGTTCCATGCGGGCAAAACTCCATTACTTGGGCACCCCCTTGTGAACGAAAGCGTTCGGCCAACGACCGTTCTTTCGCGGTCGGTTTACTCAACAAATCTAGAATCTCCTCGCCTACTTTTTTACTTTCCTTCTCCTTAGTCGACGGCATAGCCAGCAGAGACTAAAATACAAATATAAATATTTGTCCAAATTTACAATGGAAATTACAAATATATCGGTAGTTTTCGAATCTTTTTTCTCCTTCTTTCGTTTTTCTTCGTCTTCATCGTCCTTGGCAGGGGACACATCGCGCTTACGTTTCGGATTTTCCTCCTTTTCACTTACAACCTTCAATTCACCCGTGGCTTCGTTTACGACGGCATTTAACTTACTGTGTTCGACAAAGACCACTTCCAAAACACTTTTACCGTCCTTCACGACATCTTTGAGATGAATCAGTTTTTGAGTTTCAAACTTTTGAAGTAAATTTGAAATCGCTTCGTGAGAAACGTAACGATCCAAGCTGGTTTTCAAGGTGCCGACTAGGTCGGTGGAAGTGATCGGAATTTGTAGGGTCACCTCGTTTAGGGTTTTTAACAGCTCCTTCTCAAGTTCCGGGTTGACTTTCAGTAAGTCGTCAGAGACCGCCGCTTCTGCTTTTGACTTCGTCTCATCTTTGAGTGCACCGACGGGACTGGGTGCGCCTCCTACTGAGTTTTCCAAGCAGTTTACAGGGGAGGACGTCCCCAAACTGCTGCCTAGTATATCCTGTCTTTCTTTTTTACGTTTTTCCAGTCGTTCTCGCAAACTGTTTCGTTTGCTTTTAATTGCTTGGATTTCTTCCCAAGCGTCCGACATTTTCGAGCGATGGAAGTAATTTGCCTAAGTGGAAAGATGGATATTAGCTCAGTTTCGGCATGTTTTTGATAAAAAGTGTTGTACACAAACACATGTATACAAAAGTCAACTACAAAAAAACTCAAATTTGACATTTAGCTTGTCTCAGGTAATTGTATACAGAGTATTACAAATTTACTTGACATAAAAAGCCAAAAGGGGTCTTTTACCTTGAATATGGCGAAAACTTTAACAAAAGTTGATGTGTGATACTTGTTTATTTTAAACAAAGGTGAGGGATACCTAGAAGTGCAAAAACGCAAATTTGAAAACGGTCTGTAACGAATCGTTCGTCGGTATAGTACACACTCGATGTATAAAGTAATGTTGAGGTGTAGTAGACACCGATCAAAAGTCAAAGTTTCTAACCTAAAACACATTTTAAATTCCCATAATTTGAATTGTTAAAAATGTCGAGAGTACAAGTGTTAGCTTTATACAAATCGCTCATAAAGGAATCACAAAAATTTGATTCCTACAATTATCGGTAAGTACTTTTCCTAATATAAAAAAATGCCATTTCCTTCCACTGCTCTGGTCGCAGAAACTATGCCTTAAGAAAAATAAGGGATTGCTTTAGAGAAAACATGAACTTGACTGATAATGCAAAAATCAAGGAAGAGATTTTGGGCGGGCAAAAGAATTTGGAAATTATTAGGCGACAAGTAAGTAAATCGGCGAAACCGCGGCAACCTTTTATCGTGATGAACTTCATCTAATTAACATTGTTTTTAGGTATTTGTGGGGAATTTGTATAAAACGGACAAACTGGTTATAGAGATGATGAAGTGAAAGTATATTTTGGTTGTAATTTGTCATTTAACTGTTATTTATAATACGCTTTTGTTATTTTGAGAAGTAAAACAGTACATAGTAGGCACACCAGGTTTTTTAGTTCATCCTAGGAATGTTGTAATACCTAAATACCCCCCCCCCCCCAATTTCCTTAAATTACTTGCTTTAGAAACAAATAAAAAATTGTTTGGAAATTTCCTAGGAAATATTAAACTGAAATGTCATCGCACTTGTCTTTGGAGGGGTGCATTCTGGCTGTTGACTGGGTCATTTATCAAAAAATGATTTTAATTTTATTTTCATTGTGTTTCAAAGCACGCAGAACAGTTGTCGTACAAACATTACTTCAATATCAAAAGAAACAGTGTATAGAATCTTTGTTATATTGAAATGTTTAAGAAAAAATGAATTATGTTATTACAAAGATCATGTTTGGTATAATTAAATTAAACCAATGTTATTTCATCTGTGTATGCGCTTTGAAGTCTAATGAGATTGTTGGTGTGCAGTGGTCATCAAGCAAAATGATGTGGAGGGGCACCACTGATTTTGATTATGTTCACTGTTGAATTAAAGTGTACCATATTGCCGGCCAGCTTGGTGTAGTGTTACATGCCTATCCGCAAGTAAGAGGGTCCCCTGTTCAAACCTAGAAGTATACAGTATTTTTTATTAAGCAGTAGACATAGGGATTTACGTATATTGTTTTTCCCTATGTCTACTTTTAAATGATAAAATCTCTTCTGAAGGACGCCTAGTTTATGCAACTAGAATAACTTCAACTGAAGGAAGCGTTAATATTGTTAATTGGTATTGGGACAGTAGCAATTTAAGAAGCGTAAGGGATGTGAACCCAAAGTATAAACAATATGCAAATTAATTAATAATGACAGCCAGGTATTTGTTTTAAGAAGTTATTTTGGTTGCATAAAATTAGGCGCTCTTCAGAAGTGATTTTGTCATTTAAAAGTAGATATAAGGGAAAAGCAATGCACGTAAATCTGTCTACTTCTTAATAAAGAGCACTGTATAATGGTTGAGCAGCCTTAAAAAACCAGACAATTCATTGGATATCCCCAAATTTTTATATTACACCTACACTGTACCACAATTACAATTGTACCCTGCCACCATTTAATATCACAAACATAACGGAAGACAATTAAGTTAAGACTACTTTGTGCTTAAAAAACTTTCAAGATCCTGTTGGTCCAAGTCCAGCTGAATTTCCTCCAATAAGGCACTGCTTTGACTATTGGTTTCAATTTCTAAAAAAAACTCATCAAGCAGAAACTGGGCAACATTTCGACTTACTAGGCATATTTCCTAAGCTTTTAAACGTCCGTAGATCGTCATTAAAGGCATCTTGGAAAACTTGCTGGCGTTCTTCCAACAGTTTCTTTTGTTTCAACTCGTATTCCGCCACTGTTTGAGTATGTTTCGCTGCCATTTCCGTTCTTACTTTTTCGAAATGTGCTACAACTCACTGTTAGCGACAGATCGGCTTGATAGGTTGCCAACTTACCCATCTTCTTTTCTTTGTATAACGCCAACTGGTACTTATGCTCGACTTTACGTCTCTCCAATTCTATTCGTTCAATTAAATCCTCCAAATCCAAGATACCTTTCTCGACGTTCTGGAAACTGGTGTGTAAATGTTTGATTTGTTCGCAACACGTTTCCATACTCTTATTAATTGTCGGTGTCGCGTTAAGTAGGTGCGTTATTTCGACAACGTTCGTGTAGTCGACACTGGTTTTGGTGTGTAATAAGTTGATCTCTGCGGCGAGCTTGGCCGCACTGCTCGCATTTTCTTCGTTTAAACTGTGGATGTCTGCCCATTGATCTTGATAATGGGTGAGAATGTCTGCGCCGGCATTTAATGTATTTACGGGGCTTTTTGTAGGTCCTTCCTCATTTGTGGGGCTTAACAAACCAATTTTACTTACGTTAAGCAGTTTTCCTTTTAACGTTGTTAACATTGCTACTGGTGGTGGTCTAAAAATGAAATTTGTTTACGTTTGCTTTGACTTTTTGGGGTTAGGGTTAGTTGAAGGGGAGGAGTTGCAGGGTGCTTTTGCGTAACTGTTATAAAATCACGTTGCCATACCGTTATAAAATAACAGGTCGCGAATTGTTTACATTTTCGAAACTTGAAGCCTTCATCGGGGAATACAAATTATAATTTTGGGGGCATATTTGAATAACGACCTTCATTTTTGAAAATCTCGTCTTCCAAATGGATATCTCAAGATTTTTTTGAAAAA